TAATAAAAGGAGGAGGTTATTCATCAGTTTATATTGTGTGCTTGGTGTAGTCTGTGTTTGTTTGTGAAGGTTTCTTGAGAAGAAACCTATCACATTCACAGTCAGCAACTCAAAACAAGATGAAAGAGCTCATAATTTATCTCAATAAATGGACACACATTTGAGATTCGAGTAATCTGATCAACATCCAATGGTTACAATGAGCTGACCTCGTGAAGGTGTGGAAAAGTGAACTATACTGAATCCGGCACTATGAAGTGTACATTTTACTCATAATAGATACTATTAATAGGATTAGCTTTTAATAAAATGTCATTTGATTTCAGGCTGTACAAGGGAATTATACCTCTGTGGGGAAGACAGGTTCCATGTAAGTTCCCCATCTTATACTTCGCAGTTGGACATAAAGTGCCTTTTTGGCTGAATTGGCTGCTCTCGTCATTTATTTTTCTGTTTTTAAAGATAATTCCAAAAGTAAAAATGTCTCTTTGTTTTTGTCTGTTTCCTGTTCTCTGTATATGTTGCAATTTGAGTCTCAATTTGACAGCTAAATGTTTAGCTTATATGCTAATTTTTCTGGAGAATACTAGTTGGTATTTTTCTTTCTTACTATCTTGTTAAAATTCGGAAGGATTTTTATTGCATTGTCGTATATATGTAGTAAAAGAATGGGGCAACAAGTGAAATTTAGGTAGTCCAGATAAGGAACTATCTGAAAGCTTGTCAAGAGTCTCTATGTTGTTCCTTTTCTTTTTGCTGGTTTTCTGCCAACTTGTCAGTGTACAAAATCGTATCAATGATACCTTTTGTGTGTGTTTTCTACTCTAAAATTTCCTTCGGAAAATTGCTAATCAGTTACCTAAACCATTACTTATTAAGTAAATGATTTTTTTCCTTGCAGATACAATGATGAAATTTGCTTCTTTTGAGAACATAGTTGAGAGGATCTACAAGCATGTCATCTCCAAACCAAAATATGAATGCAGCATTTCCCAGCAAGTAGGTGTGAGCATTGTCGGTGGATACATGGCTGGTATATTGTGTGCTGTCGTCTCCCATCCCGCTGATAATCTTGTCTCTTTCCTTAACAATTCCAAAGGGGCAAGCGTTGCTGATGTAAGTGCCAGATTTTATGTACTTTTAACGCTTTAGACTTTCTTTGGTATTTTGTCTGAATAACCTGCCTAATGGGAAACAAATTCAAATAGGAAAAAGAAAAAAGAATCATTCATGTTAAGGTGTCATAGGTTTAATGGAAGGAGCGTATGATTCTGCAGTACTGAATTTTTTTCCAAATGCAGGCTGTAAAGAAGCTTGGACTATGGGGTATGTTTACCCGTGGTCTACCTCTTCGTATTCTTATGGTTGGAACTCTCACAGGAGCACAATGGGGAATATATGATTCATTCAAAGTTTTTGTGGGGCTGTAAGTTTGCATCATTTGCTTGTTGGTTTTGATAAATAGGTTTTGTTTGGTTTATATAATGTCATTAATTAGTATTATATGGTAATGAAATTCCTTTTCTTCTTATCAGGCCAACCACTGGTGGTGTTGCTCCTGCTCTTCCTCCTTCTGCTGCTTAGCTTGCAAAGGTGTCAAATGGAAAACACTTACATCGTTCTGTTTCAGGAACTTAGAAAATGTAGGGACCATATATAATAATCAGGGAATTTCTGAAGGTGCTAATTATACAGAGAATTTTTATACAAAATGAAGGAAAATGCCTGCAACTGTCTTTAAAATACTGGCCAAGGAATAAAAAAGAATATTTTTTTTATAGAAAATTGTTTTTATAATAAATCCTAAAACTTTGTATTTATCATTTCCAAATTCGTGTATTAGCAGTGACTATAGAATAGTCGTTATGGATATGGTTTTGTAAGATTTTTTTATCAGTTGTGTACTGAAAATATGCCTCTAACAGTAAATATCATTATTATTGATTCACAGCATGCAGTGACTAATTGGAAGTCACGCTTTCATTTATAATTACCTCCCTTATCCCCAACAATATCCTTTGCTATTACTAAGATTATAAAGATATTTGTTGTTTAATTACGTTCTAGTATCTAGGTGTGTAATACATTGAGTACGAAAAAAAAAAGGTAGATTAAAGTGAAAGGAAACTTTAAAATTTGAATGTAAAATCAAATATTTTTCATAATATAATCAATATATCTTTGATTCAATTTAACATAACATAAATAAATAAATTGGCTAAACTAATAGAATAACCCCTCTACAAACGAGGTCCTCTTTTTCTTTAAACCACCTCTTCTAATTGGTCCATGGATAACTCAAAAGCAAACTATCGGCTCTCAAAACCACTGTTGAGTCTATCAAGGAAGAGGTTCATTAGAGAGACACAAACACCAATGAGATATGAGTCAATTATATAAGGGATTGACACCACCCTCCACCCAAAACCTTAAGGCAATGAGTTAATGGGTCTTTCATCTTTATATAGTGCTCTACTTTCTCATTTTTATTCAATGTGACTCACACTTTGATTCCCAACAGTTTGTCGTATGTCCCTCGCCATAAACCCAATCCCCGGTCGACCCTATACAAAAGCCTGCTCATTTTCCATTTTGAAACATGTACTTTTAAAATCCTACACTTATATATTGTCATCCCATAAATAACACCTTCATCAATTATGTTAGGTTAAGATAATATCATCTGGGAACTCTTTGTTTTGAAGTTTAAATAAAAATGTTTAATGAAATAGTATTTATCAAAAAGACAATCTAAGATAAATTATCAAACATAATCGATTTCTAAACAATATTCTAAACGTAATACACTATTTTAAATTATATGATAAAGAGACTACGCTAAACCCTATAATACACGGGTTATGCTAAACAATATAATAAACATTTAACGTTTTAAATTCAAATATATGAATAATATTTTTTGTTTGTTGTGTTGTTTTTCTTAATCTATACAGATCTCTCAAGGGCAATATGCTTTATTCAAAAGTTTTGTATTGATTTAAAAAAACATTAAAAGATATGAAGGCATTTTGAGAATGTTTCTTCAATACTTTATGTAACATCCCAATTTAGCATATCCCAAATAAATTATAAAACCTCCTAAGTTGTGGAAGCTAAAAATTTGTTATGTAACATCCCAATTTAGCATATCCCAAATTTAATTGTCCAATATTTCCTCAGTTTTGATATTTTGACTTAATTTGACTAGTAATTCTTATTTTAGTTAATTTGAATTATCTGAGACTAATTATTTTCATTATTAATTGCATGGAATTGTTTGGAATACTATGTTTTTAAGAGGGCAAGAACATGAACAATAACTCTCTACATAGGCTTTTTAGATTTAATTCAATTGTAAATTCATTTTTAGTGTATTTTTGGACAGATTTGGACCATTGGGCCATTTTGGGTCAAAATAGTAAAAGCCAACTTGTGGGCTAACCTTAGACTAGGATTTTATGACCCAAAGGGGGCAAAACGTCCTCGTTCTCTGTCATTCTGTTTCTAGCACTTTTGGACAGCAAAGGGAGAGCTCCCCCATTTTTGGGGTCTTGGTTTTCATTTACATTTTCATGTCTTTTTAATTCTAGCAATACAATTTTAATTCTGAATTTTGTTTTCTTCTCTTTGGAATTTGGATTATGCACATTTAATTTCCCTTTCATTCTCGCATTGCACTTTTTGTTTCCAATCTCGTTTTCGTTTTCATTTGCGTTTTTAATTTCGCTTCCAGTTTTCTAACCCATTGCAATTTCGTTTTCCATCTTGTTTTTGGCATTTCATTTTGGGCACTTCGCTTTTATGAATTGAAAGTAGTTTTCATTGCTGCATTGAGTTCCTTTCCAACACTGCTTTAATGTATTCGATTATGTTTTGGCTACTTCAATTTAGTTTAATGGAACTGTAAATCTGTGTGGTTGGTAATTGGGGATATTGCAATGCTTGCTTGAGATTTATGGATTTTAATTTATGGTGTTGTTCTTACCTTGCATGATGCCAATTCGAATTTGTGCTTGCATTTAGGTATACGCTTAGTTACCTAATTGGTGTTTGATTTTCGCTTAGTTAATTGGATCGTGGGTGGAGATTTCATTGGGTTTATGCAATGTGTTTGCTTAATTCACGTTTGTTAAAACCGGATTAACCTTCGCTTAGTTGGTTAATTCGTGTTGGATTAGGGGTGAAAGTGGTGTTTAATTGTTGTTAATCTGTGATTGAAAGCATTGTAATTGATCTAATTGCCAACCGTTTTTAATGTGTGTTGAATTCATGTTTTAATTGCTTCACTTCAGTACACAAAATCCCTTCATAAAACCCCCCACCAAGTGTTTGATCTAATGACTTAACCAATATTTGGTCTTTGAGAGACGACCTAGAAGTCACTTCCTAGTCTATACTACATTTAGTTGCATATTAATTTGATTCGGGTACGACCCTGATCACCTTAGGTTCTCCCGAAGAGTAAGCCACTCCAACAATGATATCACAACCAAACAATATTAAAACAAGCGTCGTCCTTCCATACTTCACCGTACCAAAACTTGTTCACCAAAACATGACATCTATTCATAAAACAAGACAATTTAAGTGGTCCTCCACCGCAGCTTTGGACCTATCTTAGAACGAACCACTTCATCACCAACAATAACTACAATCATATGAAATCTTAGCACAAACCATGCCAACACCGACAATCACTACAATCATATGTCACCTTTCATACTTTATCGCTCCAAACCTGTTTACCAAAACAGGCGATTCAAGTCGTCCTCCACCGTAGCTTCGGACCTATCTCCCTTGCTTCTTAAGGACTTATGAGTAAAACTTCGATGTTTTTCACATCGAGCACTATACTCAGCACGAGCCGAAACCCTACGAACTAGACATTCATCCATTTCTAACCCCTTGAAAGAGGAAAAAGTAGCATTTGAATCTCAGTCCCTTATATCGTCCATCACAGGCGAAGAGACTCATCTCCTCTACTGCCTCTTAGACACAAAGAGATTCACCTTTCTATCCTCTCATAAAAGGAAAGATACAACTCCAGATTAACGAAATGCGACAATAAGACATAACATTCAACATATCTTTCAGTTTCACCCTAAACAAACAACATCACTCCACCACAAAAGCAAACCCAATCATCTGATCAACCGTGTCTCAACCTAGGCAAAGCATTACACCAACTTGGAAACATCATAAACAACTTGACAATCAGAAAACAACTCAAAAAAACATCGAACCAACTCGTTAACGTAATCAAGCAGGACGACCACATCCAAAACTAGCACGACAATATACCCAAAGTGCATAGTAATAATCCTAACACACCCACACCCCAAAGCAATCGTCTATAACACACCCAAACAACATCTTTTTATCAATTTCTAATGTATACACCATTAGAGCCTAGTTTCCCAAATTAATTCCATAATTATTAAAATCACATAATAAATAAAACAAAAGTTCTTAATTACTAAATAAAGCCCAAGTCATTACTTAACCATCCAAAAAAATTACAATGAACAAACAATCCTAAATATTCCAACAAGTAACTTAAACAATTTATCGTACCAAAATAAGTCAAAACAGCTCCTAAAATCTCTACACCTAATACCAATTTTTCCAGCCAATACCATACCCAAAAACGCCAAGTTTCAAGTATCAAATCATTCCAATTTACATGCTAAATTGCATTATATTTTTCATAATTCAAAGAAGACACCAAAACAGATTTTTAACCATCAAATATTATTGCTTCTAAAACAATTTTCAAGGACTTAAAACATTGTACTAAAAATAAATTTAATCATTCATTATCAATGCGCTAAAACTAATTTTCCACGATTATAACATTCTAATAAATTCATTTTCCAAAATCCCACTGCATGCAAAAGTCCTTTCATGCGTCACTTTTTTCTTCTAAAACATGCATTCGTTTTTAAAAGTTTTTCATCAACCTTATTCCATTTTCTGCGTTAAACTTTCTTTCCAGAACATACTTCAAAGTCCAATGGCCTTCACCAATGTAATTGCACCAAAAATACATGGCAGCAGCAATTCTAATTGACAAATAAAAATAAATACTGCACCGCATAGAATCCAAGATAGGAATGACAACAACTAGAGTAAATTGAAAGGCACAAAATCAAAGAAATTTTCTACGTTAAACATTTAATAAAATTAATCATGCATAATTTTATTTTTTAAAACAAAATCCAGCGTCACCCCTCTTGTTTTCCAACACATGCATAAATTCTCTATCAAAACAGAACACTCATATATGTTCAAAACAGCCCACCATGTCGAAGTCTTGTAAGATAGAAATATTTTTTTCTTCACCAAACAAAACAAATACCATGGCAATAAACTATAACATTCATAAGATTTCACAAAACCATGCGCCAATGTATGAAAGAATTTGGATAAAAGCCCAAAAAGTACTTCTGCGCCACAGTAAAAGGACAATTATAATGAAGCATTTTAATGGGAAGAAGAACGTGGCAGGGGTGCACCACATAAAAGAAACAAGGAAACTAATTAGAATTAATTAAAGGACTGCGCATATGGAAATAAATTATTATTAATGGTTTATAAATTAAAATAATAAGGAGCTGAACAAGAAATTAGTTTAAGGTGAACCCAAAATGCACGACATGCATGAAATTTTATGGATGCATTCTAAAAGAAAAATCGCACTGAATAGAAAAAGACATAAAGAAGGCTACGACTTCCATTAAACAACGTGGACAGAGCAAAGACACTAAAACACCACGA